GGCTCTTGCGGCTGCTTAATCCGGCTGTGCGGACAGCCGCAGCGCACGAGGGGAGGCGAGTTCAAATACCAGTGCCAGCCCTGCGGAGGAGTAAGACCCGCCACACGGGCACGCGCGCACCGAGACCAGGCGGCTCTCTGAGCCGGCAACTCCAGGCAAGCCCAGGGCCGAGCTCAGGCTCTGGGCTATGCCCACCTCTGCCTGCCACCGCTCAGAGTGCCCGAACCTGCACTGGGCGCCCACGGTGGGCCCACTGGGAGTCTGCCAGCGTTCGCAGGCTGCCCGTGAGGACGAGGGCCGGGCAGCGCGGGCGGCGCCCCACCTACCGGTAGCTCAGCGAGGGCCCCTGCAGGTACTTCTCCTCGGCCGTCCTGTAATCCACCCCGTCCACCGCGGCTATCGCAGAGATGATGGCCTGCGAGGGGACGGGAGCTCAGCGGCCGGACCGGCACCACGGGGCCCAGCACACCATGCCACGTCCCGGGAGTGCGCCCGAGTCCTTTCGCAACTGCCGGGAGCGTCGCCTTCCAGACCTGGCTGCCACCGGGGAGGGAGTGGCAGCGCCCTAGGGCGTCCCTGAAAGCCTGAACATTTGCTGTAAGAAGCAAAAGCGACTGGCCGCGGGGGGCGTGGTGGCTAAGGACGCTGGACTCCCACGTGGCCAACTGCGGTTCGAGTCCTGGACCTGGCGGCTTGCTTTGTCTCTCCCTCTGTCCCTCTCTATCAAACTATAAATAAGTGAAGTTAAACAACAAAATGGCTCTTTAAAAAACAAAGTAAAAGCAGGGTCAGTGGGTGGTGTGGAGGTGGAGGCGCTGGCCCGAGCCCCAGGAGAACGGCGAAGGGGGTGCAGCGCGGCCATTCCTGGGGTGATTTCCCGCTTCCCGTAGGTCCCTGGCCACCACACCACCAGCACCTGGGTACGTCTGTCACACCAAGATGGCAGCCGCGACCTGGCCCTGGCTCCTTGGCTCTGCACCCCGACAACCACGGGTGGTTCTGCAGAGCCCCCCTTTTCACTCAAGTACCCCCAAATGCGCCAGGGGCGACAGTCTACGCTTCACGGGGATGACCTCCAGTTCCAGAGTACACACTTCTGCGGTTCCAGGCTGGGGTGATCAGGGCGGGTACCCCACGGCTCATGCTGTCCTGCCTGCCCCGCCGGAACCGCAGACTCCACACTGGGGGCACCCTGTGACAGACAGGGCTGCCTGTGTGAGGGCCCGTCTGTCCCCACGAGGCTCGGGGCTGCCCGTGTGGAGGGGCGCACATGGGCCATGTCTGTCCCCACGGGCGGGCTGACCTCAGGCAGGAGGACATCCAGGATGAAGCGGACCCTGTCGCCGTGGATGTGAGCCAGGCCGCCGTGGCGCCGTGCGCCCTGGTAGACGCCCTGCAGGTACTGCACCACCAGGTCCAGCTGGCCCTCATCCTCCAGGTAGGTCTCCAGGCAGGTCACGCAGCGGCCGGCGCTCAGGAAGGCCTGCAGCCAGCGGGATGGTGTCCTGCCCCGCAGCACGGCCTGCAGGTGCTCCTCCGATCGGCCAACCCGTCGTCTTCCACCAGCCGCTGGTTGGCACGGTCCCGGGCGGCCCGCGAGCGGTCGGGCAGCACTTTCCTGCAGGGCTGCCTCTGCCCCAGGGGGGTGCCGGCCGCAGGCTCCTCAGGGTCCCCCGAGCTCAGCTGTGGGAACTGGGTGCCTGAGCCGCAGGGGCACCGGGGGGGAGGGGAGCGGAGGGCCGGCCTCGGGGTTGGGGAGCGGAGGGGCCGCCTGAGGGGTGGAAGGAGCTGGGTAGATAGGGGCTCTGCCTCCTCTCTCCCGCCCACTCCCTCTCTCCGGCTGGGCCTCGAAGTGGGACAGTGGGTGGGGCAGACCCGGACCCGGTGGCCCTTCCCTCCCTGCCCAGCGTCACCCTGGACGGAGGGCCCAGGGTCAGACGGCCTGCAGGCAGCACTCACTGATGTCAGCCGCGTAGTATTCCAGGAAGGAGCCGGAGAAGGACCCGCAGCCTGCCAGATAGGACCCCACGTGGGTGCGGGGGTGCTGGAAGGGACGCCCGGCCACGGGACCCAGACCGTGACCACAATGGGGGGTGTGGGGGCCCCGGGGCAGGGAGACCGGCACCTGTGGGAGGGCCTGGCCGCTGTAGACACCTGCCTCGCTCAGGGCGAAGCCAGACGGGACGGGTCTCGGGGCCCTGGGAGCCAGGGATGCACTGTGCCCGGGGCAGCCCTGTCCCACCCGAGTCCCTGGCTCTGTGCGAGCAGGGGCCTCACGTACCCAGCCGGACCCGGTAGTCGGTGATGAGGGAGACACACCAGCCAATGGCCTGCTCGAAGTCCTCCCTGGCTTCACTCTGCCGGGCCGACAATGGACGTCAGGGAGGCCCCGGCCCCAGTCCCTCCCCTCACTGGGGTGCCCCAGGCAGGCACCGCATCACAGATGAGGCGTGGCTGGGCCCCGGACCGCTCCCCGGGGAAGTGGCAGGGGTCAGAGGGGCCAGGCTGGCGGCCGGGCTTCAGGAAAGGAGACCCGGGCCCAGCAGCTGCGGTGCTGCGGAGGCACAAGTAACCTGCCACGGGTTCGATCCCGGGCTGAGACTGAAAGCCAAGAACAGGCCTTCTGAAGGACCGGAGGACCGGGGACGCAGCGAGACCCTCCCAGGGGCAAACGCGGTCCGCTCCCGCGTGCACACGCTCTCGTGAAAAGTCGCACACTGACGACAGATACTTTAAATGAAAATAAAAAGAGCAGAGGGCCGGCAGGGAGCATGGTGGTTAAAGCACTGGACTCCCACGCGGTCGACCACAGTTCGAGTCCTGGACCTGGCCGCTTGCTGTCTTGCTTTCCCTTTCTCTTTGTGTCTCTGTCTGATCCAATTTTAAAAATAACAACAAATGGAGTTAGATACATAAATAAATTTAAAAACTAGAAGCAGAGGAGACAAAAGGGGCCCTCGGAAGGCTCGGCCCAGGGCCACAGGTCCTGCCCCATCGGCTCACCCCGAGGCCCCAGGCGGCACTGCTGGGGGAGCCCCTCCACAGCCGCCCGAGGCCCGTGACCCCCGCACGCTCGGTCTGCACCGGAGCGCCCAGCAGAGCTGAACCACCGTCCTCTGGGAGGGGAGGCTTGACCCTGGCACCCTGAGCACCGGCACCTCCACCATGGGCGCTGAGCTGCGGCCCGTGTGCTCGAGTGCTGGCCTCGCAGCCTCTGCACGGCTGCCCCTCGAGGGCGCAGACGGCTCCCCGCCCAGCCCTGGCCCGGGAGCCTGTACCCTGGCAGGGGACGCGGCCCCAGGCCTCTGCTGACCCTGTCCACCCCGTCAAAGGGCTCCGAGGCCACACGGGCTGACAGGACCACCTGGACGGCTGACCTGTGACGGCTCAGCGCGGCCTGCACCCCACCCCCGTCAGGAAGGACCCCCCACCCGCCCCGCACCAAGCCCTGGGCCACA